GTGTATAAAAACACCATCTCTGCATTTTAGGCTCATACCACACACACAGACACACAAACTATCAATTCAAGGATATGTTGATAAAAAAAAAACAACAAAAAAAATCTTGTTGACAAGAAACTTTAAATAGCTTATCCTTTAAGTTACCCTAAGAGTTTCTTTGTGAATAACAAGAGTTAATACTTTAGGATTTTACTTGTTAATTATCATCTCTTGAGTCCACTCTAGCAAATCTCGAGAACAATGAATAAACACCTGCCATAGCTGAATCTTAAAGACTAAAGTTAAAATGTATTTAATGCGTTATTGCTTTTTCATTATAATTCATGATTTCAGGATTGAGTATGTTTGATTATCTGTGACCCTTTTCTGACACCTAGAAGTGAAACCCTAAATGAGACCACGTGTTATTTTTTTTTGACATTCTTTCTTTTTCTTTTTCAGATGGGTAACATTGAAATACCACACGTAATATTAACCAGGAACTAAAGGTGTTTTTGCATATGGGTGAAGCACTGTGAAGACAATCAAATATTTACCAAAACAGCTAAGCAGAAATTATTGATGGCAAAAGGCCAGTAAGAAATATTCCATTGGGCATGGACACAGCTGATTTCGTATGACACTGTAAACAGACAGACAGACAGACAGACAGACAGACAGAGATAAAAACATGACACTACAAAAAATAGTTTGCATAGTTTGAGAGCACCGCCAAAAAATTTAAGACTATATGTAATTAATCTGATGGAGATCCACAACCATTGTTTAAGTTTCTATTATGTGGAAGTCCATGTGCCAAAATAGTAAGCACTGGGCAGGTATGACTTTCATTTCGGTTTTAGACATTTAATTACTCAGTTTCAAACCAGCTGTTCATATAACAATTCCTCGTATAAAAACAAGATGTGTTCTGCTTATGAAATAGATAGATATTGAACATTGTATTATCTCCTAGATGGATACCATTACTACCTTGTCTGGTGCAGTTACTATCTGACTACACATTACAAATATCTCAGCTAAGTATTGAAAGAAAAAGATAAGTTTACAATCTCAAACTCAAAAAAAACCAACAAAACAAACAAAAAACATATAAATGAAAATAAACCCTAAAGCATATCTATATGAACACTATGGATATACATATATATATATAGTTTCAATACCCACTGGGGAAGTTGTATGCCGGGTGTATAAAAACACCATCTCTGCATTTTAGGCTCATACCACACACACAGATACACAAACTATCAATTCAAGGATATGTTGATAAAAAAAAAAAACAACAGATTTAAAAAAAAAAAAGAGGAAAGTAATATGTATTAAATTCCTGAATAAATGATAATCATCTTGTCAACAACAATACCTAATATCTAAGACTTTGTTTTATCCCTCATAGGCCCACAATATAGAGAACTGAGTGGCTCTTGGACATGTGAATTGAATATCACTTTACAATCCCTCCTATTTTATTATTTTTTCATTTCTTTGTTTCCTCTTTTGTAGTGGCAATGAGCTCTTTGTATTTATAGATTCTGTCTCCTTTCAATATTTAATTTCTGGCTATGTGGAATTTGAGTTATTTTTTTTTTATTTTTTTATTGAAACATTTTTTTATTGTTTTCTTTTCCACTAAATCAGACATGAAATATTTCATACTTTTGTATATAAGTAAATATTAAATAGTAGGTAATTTACTATTATCATTACAATCCAAATCATGACTGCTGACAGAGTGGATGGATTATTGGGAGGGGCTGGGGATGACCCAGCGGTCATGGTCCATGTTGGTACCAATGACAAAGTAAGGGGAAGATGGAAGGTCCTGAAGAATGATTTCAGGGAATTAGGTAGCAAACTTAAGAAAAGGACCTCCAAGGTGGTATTCTCTGAGATATTACCTGTGCCACGCGCTACAGTGGAAAGGCAGCAGGAGATTAGAGAGGTCAATGCGTGGCTTAAGTCTTGGTGCAGGAAGGAGGGTTTTGGGTTTTTAGAGCACTGGGCCGACTTTGCGATTGGGTACAACCTTTATAGTAGTGATGGATTGCACCTAAACGGGAGAGGGTCTGCAGTGCTGGGGGATAGGATGGCTAGAAGGTTGGAGGAGATTTTAAACTAGTAGTAGGGGGGGAGGGTCATAGCAATCTACAAAATGGAGATAGGACAGAAAGGAGATGGGCTTTAGCACAGTATAAGGGGGGTGGAGACAGGGGGAGGGGCAAGCTCAGAACAGAGAAGTTATGTAATGTTGATAATTCACAAAATATACAAGTGACGCATAATATTAAATGTATGCTTACTAATGCAAGGGGCCTAAATAACAAAATGGGGGAACTAGAGGCATTAGCATACACTAAACAATATGATATAATAGGCATAACTGAAACATGGTGTGATGAGACACATGACTGGGCAGTTAACTTAAATGGGTACATGTTATTTAGGAAGGATAGGAAAAACAAGAAGGGTGGTGGGGTATGTTTGTATGTCAACCATGATTTAAAGCCAAATCTTAAGCAAATGGAATGCGATGAGGAAAATGTGGAAGCTTTATGGGTAAATATCTGCTTGGGGGAAAAGAAGGGAAACCAACTATTGGTTGGGATATGTTATAAACCACCTAATTTTAATATTGACGAGGAACAACAGCTGTTTGAACAAATTGAGAAAGCTGCAAATACTTTAATTATTGGAGATTTTAATTAACCGGACATAAATTGGGACAGAGGGACTAGTAGCTCAGCAAAGGGAATTAGGTTTTTAAACTTGTTAAATGACACCTTCATGACACAACTTGTACAAGCACCAACTAGAATGGATGCTTGTCTGGACCTGGTTTTAACAAACAACGTTGATCTTTTGACCAACATTCAAGTAGGTGAGCACTTGGGAAATAGTGATCACAATATAGTGTCCTTTGAAATAAACTAAAAAAAAACAAAAGCACATGGGGTATACTAAAACATATACTTTTAAAAAGGCCAATTTCAATAAGTTAAGGGAAGCTTTACAATATATTGACTGGCATAAACTCTTTAGTGAAAAGAACACTGAGGATAAATGGATCATCCCAACAAATATTAGAAAGGTACATTTCTCAGTATGTACCATTGGGAAATAAATATAAAAGAAACAAATTAAAATCAATGTGGCTTGTAGAGAAGTAAAACAAGAGATTAAAAATAAGAAAAGGGCATTCAAAGCATTTAAATAGGACAAATCAGATGCATCTTATAAAAGATATAAGGAAGCAAATAATGCGTGCAAAAAGGCAATTAGACTTGCTAAACTTCAAAATGAAAAAATGATAGCTAAAGAGAGCAAAACAAACCCCAAAGCATTTTTTAAGTACATAAATTCTAAAAAAAACAAAAATGAAAGTGTAGGTACACTAAAAACTGAAACGGAGGTGTTAGTTAATGAAGACCAGGAAAAGGCAGGAATTTTAAATAACTATTTCTCCTCCGTATATATTAAGGAAGAACCCATGGCAATAGATGTGCAAATGATTGCTACTAGAAACTTGCAGAATAATTGTAATTGGTTAACTCAAGACAAGGTGCTGCAGCAACTAAAGAAAGTTAATATAAACAAAGCTCCAGGGCCTGACGGTATCCATCCACGTGTACTTAAGGAACTAAGTGCAGAAATAAGTGAACCTCTGTTTTTAATCTTTCAAGATTCTTTTCTTTCAGGAAGTGTTCCGGAGGATTGGAGGAAGGCAGATGTGGTTCCTATATTCAAAAAGGGTTCAAAATCCTTGCCTGGAAATTATAGACCTGTGAGCTTAACTTCTGTGGCTGGTAAAATATTTGAAAGGTTATTAAGGGATAATATTCAAGAATTCCTTGAGAAGAACATGGTTATCATCAAAAATCAGCATGGTTTTATGAAGCACAGGTCATGTCAAACTAACTTGATTGCGTTCTACGAAGAAGTAAGTAGAAGTATAGATCAGGGTGTTGCCGTGGATGTGATCTATTTGGATTTTGCCAAGGCATTTGATACAGTTCCACACAATAGATTAGTGTTCAAACTCAAGGAAATCGGTCTAGATGAAAATGCTTGTTCTTGGGTAGAACATTGGCTTAAAAACAGAGTACAAAGAGTTGTCATTAGAGGTGACAAGTGGTGTCCCTCAGGGGTCTGTTCTGGGACCCCTTCTATTTAACATATTTATAAATGATCTTGAAGACAGCATTGAAAGTCATGTTTCAGTGTTTGCAGATGACACAACACTTTGTAAAATAATACAATAGGAGCAGGATATTACTTTGCTGCAAAGGGATTTAGATAGACTGGGGGACTGGGCACTCAAATGGCAGATGAAATTTAATGTTGAAAAATGCAAAGTTATACACTTCGGCGTAAAGAATACACAAGCAACGTATACCCTTAATGGAAGCGAATTAGGGATAACAACACACGAAAAGGACTTGGAAATTGTTATAGACAACAAACTATGCAACAATGTGCAATGCCAATCAGCAGTGGCCATGGCCAGTAAGGTATTGTCATGCATGAAAAAGGGCATTCATTCTCGGGACGAGAATATCATTTTGCCTCTTTCTAATCACTGGAAAGACCACATATTGAATATGTCGTGCAATTTTGGGCACCTGTTCTAAAGAAGGATATTATGGCACTAGAAAAAGTGCAGAGGCGGGCTACAAAATTAATAAAAGGAATGGAACATCAGTTATGAAGACAGGTTAACAAATTTAAACCTATTTAGTTTAGAAAAACATCACCTGAGAGGGGATATGATAACATTATACAAATATATTCTGGGCCAATACAAACCATTGTATGGAAATCTATTCACAAACCGAACTTTACATAGGACACGAGGCCATGCGTTAAGACTGGAAGAAAGAAGATTTTGTCTAAGGCAAAGGAAAGGTTTTTTTACTGTAAGAACAATCAGGATGTGGAATTCTCTGCCTGAAGAAGTGGTTTTATCAGAGTCCATACAGATGTTCAAACAGCTACTAGATGCATACTTGCAAAAACAGAATATTCAAGGATATAATCTTTCAATGTAGGGTAATAACTGCTTGATCCAAGGATAAATATGACTGCCATTCTGGGGTCAAGAAGGAATTTTTTTCCTAGCTTGTTGCAAAATTGTGCTTCAAACTGGGTTTTTTGCCTTCTTTTGGATCAACAGCAAAAAACAAATGTGAGGAAGGCTGAACTTGATGGACGCAAGTCTCTTTTCAGCTATGTAACTACAGTTGCAAGAATAAGTATGTGAACCCTTTGGAATGATATGGATTTCTGCACAAATTGGTCATAAAATGTGATCTGATCATCATCTAAGTCACAACAATAGACAATCACAGTCTGCTTAAACTAATAACACACAAAGAATGAAGTGTTGCCATGTTTTTATTGAACACACCATGTAAACATTCACAGTGCAGGTGGAAAAGTATGTGAACCCTTGGATTTAATAACTGGTTGAACCTCCTTTGGCAGCAATAACTTCAACCAAACGTTTCCTGTAGTTGCAGATCAGACGTGCACAACGGTCAGGAGTAATTTTTGACCATTCCTCTTTACAGAACTGTTACAGTTCAGCAATATTCTTGGGATGTCTGGTGTGAATCGCTTTCTTGAGGTCATGCCACAGCATCTCAATCGGGCTGAGGTCAGGACTCTGACTGGGCCACTTCAGAAGGCGTATTTTCTTCTGTTTAAGCCATTCTGTTGTTGATTTACTTCTATGCTTTGGGTCATTGTCCTGTTGCAACACCCATCTTCTGTTGAGCTTCAGCTGGTAGACAGATGGCCTTAAGTTTTCCTGCAAAATGTCTTGATAAACTTGGGAATTAATTTTTCCTTCGATGATAGCAATCCGTCCAGGCCCTGATGCAGCAAAGCAGCCCCAAACCATGATGCTCCCACCACCATACTTCACAGTTGAGATGAGGTTTTGATGTTGGTGTGCTGTGCCTATTTTTTCACCACACATAGTGTTGTGTGTTTCTTCCAAACAACTCAACTCTGGTTTCATCTGTCCACAGAATATTTTGCCAGTACTGCTGTGGAACATCCATGTGCTCTTGTGCAAACTGTAAACGTGCAGCAATGTTTTGCTTGGACAGCAGTGGCTTCCTGTGGTATCCTCCCATGAAATCCATTCTTGTTTAGTGTTTTACGTATTGTAGATTCGCTAACAGGGATGTTAGCATTTGCCAGTGACTTTTGTAAGTCTTTAGCTGACACTCTAGGATTCTTCTTCACCTCATTGAGCAGTCTGCGCTGTGCTCTTGCAGTCATCTTTACAGGACGGCCACTCCTAGGGAGAGTAGCAGCAGTGCTGAACTTTCTCCATTTATAGACAATTTGTCTTACTGTGGACTGATGAACAGCAAGGCTTTTGGAGATACTTTTATAACCCTTTCCAGCTTTATGCAAGTCAACAATTCTTAATCGTAGGTCTTCTGAGAGCTCTTTTGTGCGAGGCATCATTCACATCAGGCAATGCTTCTTGTGAAAAGCAAACCCAGAACTTGTGTGTGTTTTTTATAGGGCAGGGCAGCTGTAACCAACACCTCCAATCTCATCTCATTGATTGGACTCCAGTTGGCTGACATCTCACTCCAATTAGCTCTTGGAGATGTCATTAGTCTAGGGGTTCACATACTTTTTCCACCTGCACTGTGAATGTTTACATGGTGTGTTCAATAAAAACATGGCAACATTTCATTCTTTGTGTGTTATTAGTTTAAGCAGACTGTGATTGTCTATTGTTGTGACTTAGATGATGATCAGATCACATTTTATGAACAATTTGTGCAGAAATCCATATTATTCCAAAGGGTTCACATACTTTTTCTTGCAACTGTATGTAACTATGTAACTATGACCGTCCTAAGAGAAACAATAACATACATTATGCAATATACACAAAATCCTGTAAGAATCACAGGACTTTACAGAGTCAAACAATTTGTTGTCGAGCAGGGAGTTACTTTACAAACAAATATAACTATGATCCTTTCTAGATTTTCAACGTTTAGGGTTAGTTAGCATTTTCTATTTCCAATTTATTAACCCATTCCTCACATATTTTAGTTGTTTTGGATCTATATCCTTGAGATTTACTGATATTTCTCTCCATTTTAATTTGGAATAATAGCTGTTAAATAAAAGCGTATCAATTAAAATGTTAATAGCTCCTGACTGATTCCTCTTCTGCAACTGTCACTAGTATAATAATATCTTTACCTTTTTGTGTCATTTTACCCCACTCCCTCTAGCATGTAAGCTCATTGAGCAGGGCCCTCAACCCCTCTGTTCCTGTGTGTCCAACTTGTCTGGTTACAACTACATGTCTGTTCGTCCACCCATTGTAAAGCACTGCGGAATTTGATGGTGCTATATAAATAACGTAATAATAATAATAATAATTGAAGTATATTCAACCAAAGGGGAACTTGAGAATTTTTTCAATTGCGCGCAATCTTGCAATCTTTACAGCCAAAAAGCAATGTATAGTAAAAAAAAACTATTCTTATTATTTGTCTTTGGCCAGTTCAGATGCAAAAGAGCTATTTCTGGAGTAAAATTCAAATCTATATTGGTGTGAGTTTTTATAAAAAATATATTTTTCCAAATATTGACTATTTTATCACAGCTCTAATAAAAGGTGAATATATGTTCCATTGAACTTATTGCATCTCCAACATAATAATGGATATTCGGGGTACATTTTTTTTCAATCTTGTTGGTACTAAGAACCACCTATGTAATATCTTGAATTGTATTTCTGCCCAATTTATACAATGCATTACTTTTTAAACTTTTCACCATGTATCTCACCACTAATAGACATGCCCCTACTCGCGATATAGCGAGTAGGGGCAGAATTTTACTAATACTAAGTAATCTTTACTTAGTATTAGTAAATTTGGCTGAAAGACCAATTCAGATCTTTCAGCTTTTTGGTAGATAGCTCCCTAATACCGTGGGAATTAAGGAGTTATCTACTAAGCGGCGGCAAGATGCAGCCGCAGCATGAATAGGATCGGAGTTTCATTAATTAAAATGAAATTCCGATATGAACAAAGTCCCGAATTGCGTCCTAACACGAATGGAGAAACTGTTCTCATTCTGTTAGGATGCAATTTGGTCATTTCGCCAGCATTTGTCTAAGTGACAGGACGTTCGAGAAAAGTGAAAGGAGGCTTCATGGGAACACGGAGGATAGGTGAGAATTGTGGGGAAATTTCTATGACCACCGGAAATAGAGCACACTTTGCATCTCCGCTGGTCAGAGATGGTCAGCCGTAGAAAACCTCCATAAAACAAGTATTCCCTACTTTGTCTTATGTTTTAAAGAAAACTAGAGCAGACAGTAAGAAATGAAGAACAGATCATGAGAGAGGGAGAGAAGAGGAATCGATTAAAGAAAGGTAAGTTTGACATGACAGTGCCGCTTTAAGGTCTCTTTACCAAATTTGAATGACTGGAAACGTTTGTAGTTTTTCCATTAAATTCAGCAGATCCATACATTTGGATATTACTTTAGATTTTAAATATTAAAAAGTTTATCTGTTATATCTGATTTTTCTCTCAATAATTTGGTCATTATATAATTTTTTATTCTTAGATAGAAACATAGAATGTGACGGCAGATAAGAACCATTCGGCCCATCTAGTCTGCCCAATTTTCTAAATACTTTCATTAGTTCCTAGCCTTATCTTATAGTTAGGATAGCCTTATGCCTATCCCACGCATGCTTAAACTCCTTTACTGTGTTAACCTCTACCACTTCAGCTGGAAGGCTAATCCATGCATCCACTACCCTCTCAGTAAAGTAATACTTCCTGGTATTATTTTTAAACCTTTGCCACTCTAATTTAAGACTGTCCTCTTGTTGTGGTAGTTTTTCTTCTTTTAAATATAGTCTCCTCCTTCACTGTGTTGATTCCCTTTATGTATTTAAATGTTTCTTTCATATCCCCCGTCTCATCTTTCCTCCAAGTTCTACATGTCAAGATGCTTTAACCTTTCCTTGTAGTTTATCCTGCAATCCAATAACTAGTTTTGTAGCTCTTTTCTGAACTCTCTCCAAAGTATCAACAAAGAAGCTTGACACTTTTCAGAAGAACCTGACATGCTTCACAACCATCGACCACAAAGGGACTGGAACCCTCAATCTTCTGATCCGAAGTCAGACTGTGGAAAGGGTTTAACTATTCCTGCAATTAAAATTTGTTCTATTTTTATGATGCCCCTCAGTCTCCACCCCTTCAAATCCATGTCCTTGATATATTGTTCTAAAGAGGCTAGATAAATGTGTTCAGGAATATGGTTTGATATACCAAATTTGTTTTTTAGTCTCATCCAAAATCCCATAAGATGATCCAAAATAGTATCAGAATTTCTGGCAGATTTGATCTTAATTGAATTTTTGTTTGCCAGAGTAAAGAACTCAAATCATTTAGATGGCAAGACTCACTCTCAATTTGATACCATGCTTCTTCTTCTTGTTTACTTAATTGGGTGTTATATATATCATATATCATACCAGCCGAAAAAGAGTTTTGAATTAAAGGAAATTTAACTCCTCCATTAGACATGTTTTGAGCTAAAATATTTTGAGTTAGTCATGTTTTTTTTCCCTGCCAAATTAAATTTGTAATACTTTTTTGAATTATACTTAGCCACCAGAACTTCAAAGGAATCATCATGAACCTATATTGGCATTTGGGGAGTATGCATGAATTTATTATATTAATTCTTCCCATCCAGGATGTTTCTATATTTCTCCAATTTCTTTAGCAGATGGTTAGTATGACGTAGAAGTGACAAAAAAAAATTTATTTCTCAAATTTTATTTAATTCCTTTGTTAATTTTATTCCGAGGTAGGGCATATCTTTTTTTCATCCAAGTAAAATTATATTTAGATCCAATGTCTTCTTTTGATCTATAATAGAAGTTAAGATCCATTATTACAGATTTATCAATATTATTTTTATAATGTGCTTCTTGTCCGTATTCTTCTATCTCCTTCAGAAGATGGTCTAATGCAGGGCTGCCCAACAGGTAGGACCCCAGATGTTGTAGAACTACTACTCCCATGATGCTTTGTCATTCTAAATGCATTCTAAAGACATGCAAAGCATCATGGGAGTTGTAGTTCTACAACATCTGGGGATCTACCTGTTGGGCAGCCCTGGTCTAATGACTTACTCGGCTCTAAAATTGAAATCAGTCAG